AACGTGGTTCCGGTACATAAAAGTGGAGATAGAACCAGCACATGCAACTATAGGCCTATTTCTTTAACAAGTGTTTCTTGTAAAATGCTAGAGCACATCATTTACTCAAATTTAATCAATCATCTACAAAATAATGCATTCTTTTCTCCTATGCAGCATGGTTTTAGAGCGGGATTTTCTTGTGATACGCAATTAGTAGAATTCACACATGACCTCTCTTTTTCAATTAACAATGGTTTCCAAGTCGATTGTGTCTTTTTGGACTTCCGGAAGGCCTTTGACTCGGTATCTCATACTTTGTTATTACAAAAGATGGCAGCTGTAAACATTTCGGATTCACTTTTAACCTGGCTTGAGGCTTATCTTGTTGAAAGGAAGCAGTGCGTAGTTCTAGACGGTGTGAGCTCGTCAAATGTTAGTGTTTTATCAGGTGTTCCGCAAGGATCGGTGTTGGGCCCCCTTCTTTTTTTAGTGTTCATAAATGATCTTGCTGGTCATCTTTCTAGCCACGTCCGACTGTATGCTGATGATTGTTGTATATACCGTGATATCACGTGTGAGGATGACTCCCAGATACTACAAGACGATCTCGATTCTGTGATGTCATGGTGTCAAACATGGAATATGGCCTTGAATCTAAACAAATGTAACGTAGTCAGATTTTCTAACAAAAGACAAATTCTGGCCACAGAATATTTCCTAGGTGTCACACGTTTAACGGTTGTACCTGAATATAAATATCTGGGAGTTTTATTTTCTAGTAACTTGTCATGGAATGCTCATGTTGATTATTTGTCATCTAAGGCCAGCCGCACATTAAACTTTCTGAGACGCAATTTTAGTCAGGCACCTACTAACCTTAAAGAAACATTGTACATATCGAATGTACGTCCCATTTTGGAATATGCATGTGCGGCATGGGATTTGCATACCCGTCACACCATTGAACAACTCGAACGTATTCAGAAACGGGCAGCTCGGTTTGTCTCCGGCAATTATGATTTCTCTATAAGATCATCTGAAATACGCCGCAACCTGGGATGGCCTCTGTTGGAAGACAGACGAAGGTTTCTTAGGCTCACTTTATTTTTTAACATAGTAAACGGTAGGACCGGCATCGAGAAAGAACGTTATATTAAGGAGCCCAGTTATGTGTCGCCGCGTACAGATCATCACTTAAAAGTACGAGAATATAGATGCAGAATTAACGTTTTTAAGCACTCGTTTTTTCCACGAACAATACACGAATGGAACAATTTACCAACTGAGGTTATCTCTGCGGCTCCTTCATCCTTTCCTACTGCCCTAAAAAACTTGCTGTTGGAATAATTTTTCACTTTGCCCTTCTAATAGTGCCATTCACTATACTTTGTTTTCATATATTGTACAAAGTGTTGTATGTTGTATTTTTCTCCTGTCATATCCACTATTTCTGCATCACAATAGTTCTTGTGTATCTCTATATGTATCGTTTGCTATTGTTTTGTATTGCCTTACCCCCCTACAATAATGCCCAGATCTGGGCGATGTAGGTATTCGAATAAATAAATAAATAAATAAATAAAAATATCGTGTATAAAAGCATAATCTGAAGCGATCCCTCCGTTTGTCACTGGTTGAACGCATTCCGCACTGCTAACTCGGGCGCGTAACAAGCATCGAGCAACCATGGAAAAACAGAAAAAGGTACGAGCGCGGGGGGCGGCGGACTCTTGGTTTTGGTTTCGTGCGTCGTCTCGTGTTCGCTTTGCGAACTGGTGTGTCACCAATCATGCCGCGTTTATGTGCAGTAGTAGGTTGCGCGAAAGGTCGGCTAAAGACATGCGGTCGATCGGGCGACGTTAGTTTGCATAAACTGCCGACCGATGCAGCAATGCGCAGCATTGCTGCATCGGTCGCCAATCCAGAGTTCTGCGTCCTTATCACCATCTCCCGTTCAGTCGGCGAGAGGTCGCTGAACGGGAGCTCAAACTCGTTTGCGAGCGCGGCGTTGTCGTCCATTTCTTCCAGGTTTTCTTCACAGACAGCCGTGCACTAGAGCGAACCACGGGAACCACACTGAGTGTGCACTGAATCCTACCGATGCCGACAGTGCTCCCTGACTTCACTTCTCTTTCCAGATGCAAAAAAGGGAAGAAATCTGAATGTTTGTTTCGGTTTCGCAGATTTATTTGCAGGTACAGAAATAAGAGTCACAGCGTTCTAGAAAAATTGTGTGGCATGCCAGGACCCCAAAAACTCCCGAAAACACCTTCTTAAAAAAAAAAAAAAAAAAAATTAAATTGCCTTTATGGTCCCTTTAAGCTTGGAAATTTCTTTGCTGAATTTAGCGGGAAATTTTTTCATGTTAGCGGGGAAGTTTTTGCCGCTAGATTTAGTGGGGAAAGTTTCTGCTAAATTTAGCAGAGAAATGTTCAGCTAAATATAGCGGGGAAATCTTTCCGCTAAATTTAGCGGGGAAATGTTTCCTCTATATTTAGTGGGGAAAAGTTTCTGCTAAATTTAGCAGGGAAACGTTTTCGCCGCGTAGGAAATGTTTCGCTAACTTTAGCAGAAAATATGTTCCGATAATTTTAGCGTGGAATCTTTTCCGGTAAATGTAGCGGGGAAATTGTTTCGCTAAATTTAGGAGGGAAAATTTTCCGCTAAATTAAGCGGTGAATTTTCAGGTGAATTTAGTGGGGAAATTTTTTGCTGAATTTAGCGGCGAAATGTTTCTGTTAAGCGTAAACATTTTTCCGCTAGCGAGGATATTTTTCCGCTAAATTTAGTGGGGAAATTATTTGGCTAAGTTTAGCCGAAAAATATTTTTGCTAAATGTGTCAGGGAAATGTTTACGCTAACTTCAGTGGAAATTTTTTAACTCTAAATTTACCGGGGAATTTTTTACGCTAAATATAGCGGGATAATTTTGCCGCTAAATATAGCGGGGAAGTTTTCCGCTAAATACAGCAGGGATATTTTTCCGGTAAAGTTGGCGGGCAATTTTTCTACTAAATTTAGCGGGGACTTTTTTCCCGCTAAATTTAGCGGGAATATTTCCCCGCTAAATTTAGCCCGAAAATTTTCCTGCCAAATTCAGCAGCGAAATATTCCCGCTAAATGAAGGCGCCGTGTGACGTCACGAGGATGTGGTCACACGTGACGTCATATGTGTCGTCACTATGGGAAGGTCTCATAATGCAACGCGCGGTTACGCCGACGCCGACGCCGACGCCGACGCCGCTAAAGCATGTCCTCTTTAATACCTGGCAGAACCACCACTGTCTAGACCAGTGGTTCTCACATGGGGGTCCGCGGACCCGTTGGGATCCTCGAAAGCATTCTAAGGGTCCGCGAAGTCCAGCGTCATCAGTCAAGCCCGGCAATAAAAGTTTTCTTTGCTCAGATTCAGAAGAAACGTTTCAATTTTCAAGTGAGTTTTCTCGTGTATATGTCAATAAGAGAAGTATACTTCAAACTTGCCCTTAGATATATCCATTTATTAAATCGCTTTAATAATTAACCTATATATTTTCCTTCCCCTCACCACGAACGGGGTCCTCCCTCATCTCCGCTGATTAACAAGGGGTCCGCGAAACTTCAATGGTCGAGAACCACTGGTCTAGACATTGATGGACAATGCGTTAGAAGACGTAAAGAACAAGTAATATATTTCTCCCTTGGATTCCATGTTCAGTTATTCCAGTTACTTTGAACACAACCTGGGTCCCATTAAAAATATATCGCAGAGAATTGAGTTTGCTAGACTCAAAATCTACCCTAGGAAGCCCCAACAGTACAGACAGTCGCCCAAGTTTCTCGGACATAGAGCCCCTCCAGGGGAATGTTGCTCAGATCCAAATAAGCTTGCTGCAGTACGGGACTGTTCCACCACTCAGGCTGCCAAGGAAATGCAAGCATTTCTGGGCCTGGTAGGATGTTACCTAACTTCTATTCCCTGGTTTTCAGAAGTAGCGTCATCCATAACCTTCTTGCTTTGAAAGGTTGATAGACATAGGAAACCCAGTAGCGAACAATGTTTAGTAAGATAAGAGATTTGCGAACAATGTGGCAGTAGCACAATCATGCCTCAACAGATGATTTGTGGCCGAGACCAATGTAAGTCCAATGTTTTTGGTTGCAGTGGTTCCGTATGACCAAGATAGCATCCAAAACTTGTTTTATTTGCGATAAGGTCTCTAAATGAAACAGAGCGGCAGTACACCACACAAGAATGCCAGTTGTTTGGGCTATCGACAAAATTAGGGCGTACCTGGAACGCTCCCAGTGTGAGATCCGCACAGAACATGCCTCCTTAAAGTGAATGTTCCCAACAAAACAAGCATTGAGCCAGGTATGCAGTTAGTTGTGAGACAGTGGGGGTTTCAACTGTATTGTTATATATCGACGAAGAGCAAACAACCTTCCAGATGCCTTGAGTAGATGACTTGTAATGTCATAGTTTGCAGCTTGATCACTTTAGCCAACAAAATAAACAGGGAAGTGATTTTCAGTTGATGTCTCACCGCCTTAACTCTAAATACATCTTGAAGAAGTGGGTCCCACACAAGAGCTGAATCTGACGGCCCTAAGCCATACTGGTAAATTGGACAAACAGTAACGGCAAAACCAAGAACTGGCTTGGATGACTAACTATTTAGAACATGAAACATTTCCTTTCAACCGATTTGAAGCTCGCCAGGTTTTTTTACGCTCGAAACCGGTCATGGCTTGATCAAGTCTCTACAACGAATCTCCTTTTTATTGGTACATCTCATTGAAGCTCACACCGAAAGAAGGCGAAATCAAATTAAAAAGATACGTTTGTCAATATTGTGAAAAATTTAATTACCTCAGTTTTTACGTATGCATCGATTCTTGCCCCAACAAGTATTTTATAAACAAGGAAGGGAAGTTAAAGACTGGTATTAGAAGCAGCGAGATCATATTGCCGAATTTCCTTGTTGTGAAGAATCTTTAGTGACGTTTTAAACTTGTTTCGTTTTGCTAGATTAGTTATGAGGCGAGCGATCATCTCCACCTGGGCGTACGCACGGCAGCTGCTAACGAACAATGAACGTCCCCAAGAAATTTCAATGTAAGTAATACAACTATATGAACGCTTACTAAATATACGTTCAAAATGAGATTTTATGATACGGTGTTCTTCTCAAGGTATTATCTGCATACGACTGAATATGTATTTATAGGAACGCGATGTAGGTGCATGCTTAAAAAACTAGTAGATACCAAAACTTTTAAGGCATGGCCGAGATTTATTGAAATAAGGCCATACGAGCGTGGGGCCAAGGGGGGCAAACGCACCATCCTTAAGGGTTCATAAAATTGTGAAGCTCTGGCTGCGAAGTTGAGAGGGCATCAACATCCGGCTGTTCGATCCTCATATTCTGTATGAAAAAGCAGGAGTCCTGTCACCAGAATGAAAAAAAAATATATATATATATATTTTTAAGTCAATTAAATTCGATGGATTTGATTTCAATCAAACTTATTTCATTTAAATCAGATGCTTTCAATTCATATCACTGTAGCTAAAAATATAGCATTTTTGGACATTAATATATTTATCCATATAACAGACTGATCAATTTGTCCGATTACTGATGCGTACCTATCTGAGATAAAACGTACCTATCCGAGATAAAACTGTACTGTAAATTCCAAGTACAGTTTAATTATCAACTATTTATTGGTGTAATCCCCACTATACTAGTTAAAAAAAAAAACCTCGATATTTTTAGTTAGTTAAAATGCTTCAGTTTATTCGCACACTGACTTGTTACAATAAGACATTGCATTTTCAGGTTTCGTTTCTGTCGGTTGCGTTTTGATTTCGTCGCAGTCGCGGACGAATGAAGTGGAAGGAAGAAATGAAGCTTTACTATCCGATTTGCTCTAAAAAGCACTTGTTCTTGATCGTATTCAGCCTTACATAAATCTTGTTTTGCTCGATTATTTTTTTTATTTCAACACACACACAAAAAAAATGCAGGCAGATAGAATTAAATTAGAGCGACAAACGTTAAATACCTAACATTTACGGATTCATTGTTAGCGGGAAAGTCTGATTTAAATCACCTTGAAAATTGGTTTTACTTAAATCACGATTTAAATCGTTTTGATTTTATTCTCCACCCTTTCCCAGTCACTGACGTCTCGGGAAACGCAAGTGTCGGCTAATTATGTTCAGGCATCTTGCTTCATGATTCGTTCTACTGGTTTTACACAGGCTAATATTAAAATCTGATTGGCTGCAGAACGCAGTAATAAAATGGTCGGGGCTTGGTACGTCCCTCTACGTGTCTTAGACTGTTAGTTACTTCATATACTGCTGCTATAGTCCTATGAGGGCTGGAACTCATGCCCGCATAAGTGAGTCGAGAATCGGACGAAAAAAGGAAAACACAATTCTCGTTCCAGACCATATCTTAAGGGATTGTACTGTACAAAATTGAAGGTATGATTCTTACACGAGGCAATTAGCTATAAACAAAAATTGGAAATAAGTGTTAAACGAAATGGTGTTGGCGCTTTCTGAGCAATACATATCCTTGTGTGGGTCATGTTTTGTTGATGTATTTTTTGTCTTTTTTGTTTATTGTAAGGAACGGATATTTGAGGTTACCGTTTCCGTCTGATTTCTTGGACGGCTTAATTATTTGTTTTCTGATATGTGGCGTGGGATTTACACGGAGGGGGAAAAATTGCGACAAAGAGCACAATTACTACTTTGCGTGCTTTAGGATAAGTATTCGACGTGCTGCATCAAAGCACGGAAGTGAGGGAGGACGCAGTTTAGTTCGAGTTACTACTTAAAATGAATGCGTACGACGGGAGCCTCGGACTTTACGGATACAAACAGTGCAGACAGATACACCAGTGACTTCACTGACAATAAATCTTGAGAATATCACGAATCTTTCGGGTTTCTAACCGATTTTTGTAGTTTCATTCGCGTAAATAATCACCTGAGTGCAATGTTTCGAAAATGTCACAGTAAAAAAAAAATGCAAGTAGGAGAGGCATACTAGGTAGATAAAATAGACTCGTTTCTTAAAACTGCCTAGAAAAACGTGAATACTTCTGGGCAAAGAAAGCTAATGTAGGTCTTTGCTATTTTTTTAGCAAAACGCTAGGTTTTCATACGGTTATGGCGTAGGTATAGACCAGTCAATGTTAGGTATATTAGCGCATTTCTATAGGCGATTGCGTTGTTTGACTCTGGGCCGGGAACCTTATGCGACATCTCATCCTATCCTGGTTTAGCTAGTGATACGCATGTATTAGAGACAAAACAAGCTCTGCGGAGGGCAATTTCGTCCGCTTCTTTTGCAAGGGTAGTGGTGACGTTATAACGCCGATCTTTGATTGGCTCTGATTAGAAGGATACTGGGTAAACCTCAAAGCAAGCTGCCCCGAGTTCTACTCACTATCCTTAGATCAGAGCCAATCAGAGCTCGGCATTCTGACATCCCCACATCCCCTGCAAAAGAGGCAGACGAAAGTGCGCTCCGCAGAGCTTCAACAGGCCCCTTTCAAACCATCATCAAGTAACATTGTCGATGGACATTATACTTGGGCAGGAAGCCTAGAGTGGCGACGTCCGGCAGTGGCCAAGCGTCGCCACCAGAGGGCTGGATTCAGCGCCATAAGCAGAGGCGGGTCTGTTAATGGGGCGGCCAGTCTGCCTGTCAGGAAGAGGCGAGCGGCGGAGACCCTTATTTCAGCAGTCCCCGTGTGCACGCGCGCACCATGTCCCTGGTTCTTTTATGCGGTTTTAGACAATCGGGAGCCTTAATAGGTCGAAATGTTTATAGGATATTGTAGAGTTGTCATTTGGACACTAGTTTGATGTTTCTTCACAACTAGAATAAAATGTGGGCAATTCGAACCAAAGTTTGCTTGCTAGAAAAACGCACACATCGTAATGGCTGTAATGTGATATGAAAGCTTGGTGTAAAAAGGTGACAGGCAACAAAGTGTACGTTACGCCTCGCATGAGCTTTTTTTTAAAAAAAAATTGCATCCTGTTTTTTGCAGGCCGTCACATTTGTTACCAGACTCAGCATTAAATTTGGCTGCGAAATAAACACAACTTTATGTGCTACAAAAATCACTATTTGAGAACTCGCAGGTTTGGAAGGTTTTGGTTGCGACAGCGCGTGCCTAACGTCTATGTACGCGTACAACTACGAGTGCCGAAACGGCCGACGGGCCTCTCGGTTCAAGGCCTGATCGCCTGATTCTTGACGTCACAGCGAAGCAACAATCGGCACGATTGTTCCTACCGTATTTCCCTACGTGGCTGTCGATGTAACTCGTAAAACAACTTGTATAAATACGTTATTTTGCCGGGAAGTCTGCAAAACGAATTTTTCAGACCACTTTCCAAGCAGGCAAAATCAATTTTCGTTCACTTTAAGAATTAATGTAAAATTCGCTTATTTCATTCGTCGTACTGCGGTAATCTACTTCTGCGGCCGTGTTGCTTCCCAAGATCTCAAAGGGAAGCGGTAAAGTTTGACCCTTGACTTCTCTTCGCGACTGGGGCTGTCTTTCGGACAGCAGTAGCGACGTTTATTTTTCGGGGGAGCTCTGAGTGTAGGCAAGATGTAACAGTAACCCGGTGAGGTCATGGAGACGTGAATGTGGGACTTACTTTTACAAAACCCGGTTCCCAAAAAGGCTCACGCCGATCCGAAATTCCACGTTCACACCTGGTTTATAAATGCGCGCGCCCGCAGTACACGCGACTCGGGACGTCCTGGCCTACTCAGTGTTTTATTTTGTAGCCGCTAAATGGCGCAACGTGTAGTTCCAAACTGCATTGCCGGTTGCCTATATAATTGGATCAAAGTTCTCGCCAAGTGCTGATGCAGCACTCATTGCAATACATGCTCAAAATATACATGACCAAACAATGTCGGGCACTAATAACTGGTACAACAACTTTTCGAAGGCACGTACTTGTGTTGTTTTTTTTGTTGTCTTTTTTCACCGCAAGCATAAACTACATATTGCCCAACGCTCATTCTCTGCGCAAACGCAGGGATATAGCGGTTCAATCGAGATGCGAAATTTCCATAACTATCACTTGTACCTTATTCAAAAGTTAAAAGTGATATTCTGAAATTTTTTTATGGCAAAATGGAGCCCGTTTTATGCGCGTTTTCTCTAACTGGCCCCGTTTCTGCAGCTCCATGTATTTGGGAGCTTCGTCGGCCGCCATTTTACTATTCAAATTGTCAAAAAAATCACTTACAACGTCTAAAAAAAGCGGTTAGTTTTGAAACATTGTCATCTGGTTCGGACAGCTCATTTGGGAGGAAAACGAGCGTTCGGTAATGCGTCGTTTAGTTTTGGGGTAAAAAAAGAATTATATATATATATATATATATATATATATATATATATATATATATATTTATATACATATTTGCTTCTTTTAGAATGGGTAGGGGTGGCGTTATTCTGTATTTACAATACAATACAATGCAGTAAAACTTTATTCTCACCACAGATACATGCGGTAAATGGGAGGTCGGAGTAAAAGCTGCAGAAATGCAGCTTGACGTGCTCCGGAATCCCCACTCAGAAGATAAACTAGTATCAGAAGGTCACCACATCAAAAAGCGTGACTAGGAATTGTGTCGAACGTCATGACGTTTATCTTAATGCAAGGATGAAACAAGAAAACATTGTTAGCCAGCATCTTTGCAACTGTCACACACACTGTGCCCGTTGTGTTTTTGGTCCTGGCGCTAGGTACGTTCGTCGAACAGGGGACCACATTGACTTCAATAGCAATTTTAAGACTCAGGGTGCACAAGGTTGTTAAACGGGACTGATCAATATTTGTCTGTACAGGTTATTGACACTCGTTGGATTGTATTTTTTCGCATGTCGAATTCCTCAGAAGTCTTCAATGCCGAATATCATCTTCATTTTGGCTGATGATCTGGTAAGAAATTACTAGCGATAATCTCTAATTGGTTTCTACAATATAGGCTGACCCAAAGATGTCTTCACAATTTGAATGACAAATATCTTGAAAACAAAGATAGGTGGAAAGTTGGGGATTGCAATAAACTGTTAAAGAACACTTTATGTTGTATTGTAGCCACTTAACAAAACGTCACCGCGTGCTCTGTCAGTAGCACGCAGGAGATCAACTAGATACTCTACTTCCGGCCTCGTCCTGCTCAGCATGTCGGCATCAACCTGTGGGATCGCACCACTTGTGCGAGCACAAAACTCCTGCAGATAACTTAAACAAAACTTTAGCTGTTCCTTAACATACTGCTGCGAACAGCAACTTTTTACCCCTTTTCGTTTTCAAGATATTAGTCAACATAGTTCTAAATATCTTTTTGGGACATCTTGTACTATATGAAGTGTATTTGGTAGGGATGGGCGAATATAGCGACTTGAATAGAACGCCAAGTAATTTTTAGCTTGAACACTGCAAAGTTAATGTCATCGGTTTCCCCAGCACTGTGAAGGGTATGAATGACGCAGCGCTATTCACTTGGAACCGCTTTTGCCAACCTTTTATACTTAAGTTAAAAAAATACAAAAAAACATAAATAACAACAACAACAAATGAACTAGTTAGGCACTATCAAGTTTACAGCTCAACTTGTCATATTTGCTGGATTACTTAATGAAGAAGTATGCCATTGTGGCAACTGTCACCCATTGCCTTTTTAGTCACTTGCAGCCTAAGAAACTCAGGTCGTGGTGACTCCCAAACATCGTATTATCCTTCTGAAGCCAATCAGAGTGAGGCATTAACCGATAAGATTGTCGCAGGATCAGTCACGAGGCAAGAGTTACGAAGATCGCATACCACGGTTTTAACAGGGAATACCGACGTAGCTTCTACGATCCCTGTTGTCAAGTTATACTAAAGATGAAACAAAAGAAAACATTATAAGTAACTGATTAAGACCGGGACTCAAAGATATACATTCGTATTCACCAGCTTCCACTAGCAATAGCGCCGTTTTCAAACTGTGCGTCTAAGTAGTAATCGCCTGCTACACGAAGAAAAGTAATTGACTAAGAGGAGTGTTGGTAGGCGTTACTGGTCAAAAGTAGCGAAATTTGTTACACGTTAATTGCAAATAAAAGGAACGCGTTACAGACTGACATTACTTGTAAATGAAACGAACGCGCTAACGTCACCGATAAAAAGTAACGCACGGTACTCCTGCATTGCTTTTTCTGAATTGAAACGTTTTACTGTTTTGACTATGACAAAGGACCGGGGGGGGGGGGGGGGGGGAGGGGGGCTGGTTTTTTTTTGTATTATAAACATGTTTGCGCGGGAAAAGGAGAGGCAAAGTTTTGAAGGTATGCGAGATGGGTGCAAGAATTCATATGCTTTGACGCCTAAAACACGAAAAGAATTTAAGTGTAATTTTTTGAAACCTCGGGAAGAAGGTTTCTACTACCGGTTATGGGTGACGTAACTACGTTACTTGTTACCTAGAATAAGAAACGTAAGTACGTTATTCGTTACTTTTTGAAAACGTAACGGCTACGTTGCTTGGTTACAAAAATAACGCGTTAACGGTAACGCTGTTACTTGTAAGAACGGGTTGCCACCAACACTACTAAAGAGCGACTATACACCCAGCGGAATTCAATAGCGAGGAGGGATATAATCGAGTGATCATCTAATCAGGAGTAACAAGTGAAAATGACTTAAAAGATTGACCACGGAAGCGCGTAATCATACCCCACCTTTCGAATTGATATTTTTATAACATTACAATAATATTGAATAACAATAAGAAAAAAAAACGGTTATACTAAGGGCCTGATTGTCAAGGAGAGAGTTGTACAAATAAAATTAGAAGCATGCCAGGGAGACATCACAAAAGCCGTATTGCCAGTGACATAAGCAAGTATACAGGCATATAGTTAATATAATCTAGATGGAAAAGTTCCCATGCATTCGGGCCACTTCGGAACGGCGGCGCATAGCCGCGGGCATCTGCGGTCCCTTGCAGTTGGCGGTCCCGATGGGCACATATCGCTGGTGACGCCCTAATATGCCCAAAGAAGCAGCAAATCATATTTAAGGTCGGTAACTTGTTTTATCTAGCTTACTTTGCAGAAAATACTGGGATAGCGCCTTGTATAAAATTAAATACAGTTGGGGAGCCCTCGAGCGACTTCAACTCGTCGCGGCTAAACGAACGGCTAACCTTTCGTCTGATTTCTTTCTCCGCTCTTCTGTCGCTCTCTTTCTCGCTACTTCTTTCGGGACCTCCGATGCTAGTTTCCGGAGTTTGCCACGTACTGTTCCCATCGTTTGTCCCCTGTATACAAGCGCCTCTAAATGCGGGATCTCTTGTCATCCAGTGACCTGCTGAGATCGCCTTAACGGCAGCTGGAACCCTTAAAGGAATCATGACAAGCCAAAAATAAAAGACGAGATTTCTGTGCTGCTGGGGCCCATTGTCTATTCCTAGGATCCTGCTAAATTTGTTTTGAAAATGGCGCGATAGTTTCGTTGATAAATCGATGTATATGCGCGTCCCTCGGATCCGCCCCATTCGGAAAGGCCGCCGTGGATGGAAGGCTGGGGACGTAGCCAGCGTCCCGCGCGGCGTCCCCTTGCAAGCACTCCCAGACTTGGCTCTCTTGGCGTCTGGAGCTTCAGCTTCCTCGTTTACCTTCCGCGTTTTGGCATCCGATTCGTGACGGCTAAGTCTACGGCATCGCTGGCCTTGTCAAAGTGTTCGACACTGATCGCAGCAGCGATGAGAGTGATTGCTATCAAGAGATGTTGGAAGCTGTTCATTTTGACTGCGTCCCGCTGGCGACCAGCTCCAGCGACGACGAGTTACGGACAAACTCTCCGTGGTCACGTGGTCCGGGAATATCTCGCAGGCGCATGCAGGGTGGAAGGTCAACGGGCTGGGGGCGAGAGCGAGAATAGCGTTCGGGTTGCCGAGTCGCGTTAGCGGTTTTGATCGTAACGCGGCAAGGAGGGCTTGGGCAATCATCAGGGCGTCTCGAGTTAGAGAGCGTTCATGATCACGTAGTTTATGGACACCATGGCGTGACTAACGTGGGCAGTGTTCGGTGCCCTATTGAAAAAACCAGCTTAAACTGGTCCCAGCTTCAAGCTGGGTTATTGCCCCAGCATGCCCAGTTTGGCATGCTGGTCATGCTGGTGCACTTCCCAACCAGTTTAACCTGTTTAAATTAATACACAGGATAAACAAGCCAAGCTCTTCAGAAAAGCCAACTCGGCATCCAATTTATTATTTTCGTACTCGCGGCCGCCTCACATGAACTCAGATGCTACATATCCTCGGCGCTGACACAGTATACTTAGCGACGCACAGACAGTGGTTCTCGGTGCAAAGCCAACAATGTTAATAAAACCAGATTGCTTGTCTTTAAACACGAAAAATACTAGACACACGCCAAAAAACAGGCTAATCATGTCGTATTACACCTGAGACTGCGGTGGAAGAAATCGGAAGAACTTTCAGTAGAAGGAACAGACTGTGTCTGTTCCTTCTACTGAAAGTTCTTCCGATCTCTTCCACCGCAGTCTCAGGTGTAATACGACATGATTAGCTACCACCAGCTCGCCTGCACTCTCACCGTCTTTTCACCAAAAACAGGCAATAGCAAAAGAAAATGCTACGCGGATGAGAGAAGCGAATGTGGGTCCCGCCAGTGATGGGGGCGAGGCGGCAACTTGCGTGGTCGGCAGAGGAGAGGAAATCCGTGTGGCTTGGATGGCATTGGCGATACTCCTCGGCACCACCGTCATTCACGAGCACACAAACGTTAGAAGACACGAAGCGACGCCTCAATTGGGACGTCCGACATCTTCCCGCGCTGAACGGACTCCCGCTCGCTGTCTCCTCAAAACCCGCTTCGCTTGCCACCGTCGTTCAAGAAGTCTCCAAAAAACGCGCACACAGCCGTCCCCTCGAAAATCTGTCCAAGACAGCCAATCCACCACTTTCCGAGTTTCGGGTTCGAGGGTAACCCGAGGCACATGTTGCCAGGCCGGATTAGTGGCGTAGGAAAACAAAGTCTCCATCTTGCGCTAGTCTGAGGCTCCCGGCACCGTCCCGACGTCGTTCGATACGATGCCGACGCACTGTGTCGCGTTTGGGTGTCGAAACTGGCATCGGAAGGGGGAGGGGAAGAGCTTCTTTTGCTTTCCCTCTGCGAAATTCGACCCAAATCGAAGAGCGGCGTGGGTAAACGCGGTGAAGCGGGCTCACCCGACAGACCCGAGGAAGGCTTGGGAGCCGAGCCAGCAGTCCCGATTATGTGGGGCGCACTTCGTCACTGGTAAGTCGCTTCAATCGCAGCTGAGAAAAACAAACACAAAGCGTTGGGTAGTTGCATGATCGTTACATTGCCGCTCTATCAAACAGGAAAACCGTCGCTGGATAGGCACCACCCGGACCATGTGCCGACTATCTTTGCTCACCGGAAACAGGAGCCATCTCTCGATCGCTACGAGCGATGGAAACATCGCGGGTCCACTGAAGGTACGAAGTGACGATGGTCATAAAGGCGCGTTCACGCTGTGGAATTTTACTCGCGTTTTGAATTCGCCGTCTGAACAAGACAAGAAAAAAGACGTGCGTCTCGTAAAAAGGATGCGCGCGTTCATCGCTTCTGGAGCGATCTTTTCTAATGCCAGTTCTTGGAAATGTATGCCCGCCGACGTTTGTGTTGTGTTCGCGCTTATTAACTCCTCTGCCTGACGACGGTTGATCGGTATTGACTGGACTTTATAATCGTGCGCATATGGAAGCGCGAAATCTGCCTGTATAACAGTCAGTGCACCAAGTAGCCATTTTACATGACGAAACCATCTAATCGCGAGCTAGTAGTATTAAACAGCATCTTCTGGTTTGTGTGTGTCCTTGCTCGTCAACCTCAAACAAGCATAACCTTGCGCGTTTCATTTTCCAGTAAGTCCAAGTGGCCTGTACCAAACTGAGAATGTGGGCAAATCACCATAATCACACTCTAGCTTTACTTGTTTCGCCTCTGATATTGTATGTCATCTTCAAACAACGAACCAGTCCGAAGTGCTGGTTCTGCGTGCGTGCAGCAGGGAGCATCACAGCCAGCAGCCCAGCCTTCTGCAGCAGCAGTACCCTCCTTGGCCCTTGCTAAGGAGCTCCCAGTTGCCGACCCCCTCCCAGAAGGTTCCGGCGGTAACCCATTCCCGTGCTCAATCTCAACGGGTATTTCGAACGTAGAGCCACTGCCCGAAGGTAAGGATCGACTACTAACTCAGTCATTGCTACTAAATTATTATTATTAGATGCGGGGCTTATTCCCTTGTCTTGTTTTCTTGAGATAGTGTTCGCAGGACCCAGGGAAAGAATGTTAGGTGACACACCATCCTGAGATGATGCCGACAGAGCACCAGACCATGCGGAGGACACAAATCTAGCCACATTCTACTTCTACAATTTTTTTTAGGAACAGATATAATTTTATACCTGTTTTCACATCAAGAACCGTAGTAAAAAAAAGTTCGCCGCCTTGTGGAGCATTACTGATTTCCACCTTTATGTAGAGAATTAAGATATATGTAGGTGCATTCTAGGTTAGATGTATGTTATCTTATCAAGACGTACAAACTCCAAAAGCGTTGCTTTTTTCTCTGATACCTAAATCTTGTAAGAACTACTTTGCCCTGCGTATGAACAATGCGCAAGACTCGCTTTTCTCTTGAGGTGAAAACAGATGTAGTTGCGACACACTTCAAAAGAGAAACGATTTAGACATTGCATGAGTGAAGTAAACATTCAAGAATGCTAGCACTAATCATTTCACATCCCTGAAGTAGAAAAGTAAAATAATTGCTTCTCTAAAATGCTATGCACCAATAGTGCAGACGGGCACGAGCAAACACGTAGGCAAGAATGTTTCCCTTCCAAGTGCTGTCATGTTGTCGTTGCACCAAATAGCTCGTCTCTTCGAGGACGTGTTGGTACACCATCGGGACATGCGTCTAGACCGCTGCAACCACGGTAGCACTCCACATGCACAATGAACTTTCACTCAGTCTGCCATGCCACGCCAACGTTGATCTCTGGCAAAGTGCTTGCCAGCGGGTCGCGGCCGCCGGGCATACACGTGACAGCTCTCTTCTTGAAACGTGATTGGTCGCTTCTTTCGATCGTTCCAGTCGCTCGAGACGCAGCATAGAAGTTTGACCCGATCCTACTTGCTCCGTTAGAAACGACCGGGTGCTTGGTGCTCCGTTGCTATGACAACTCGTCGTTGCAACATTGTTGGAGTTTGTAAATGTTCTGGCTGCCCCAAATGCAGATGCGTGAACGGGCCTTTTTTCCTCTACGCTCCTTGGTTCAAGAAACCTGCATGTGACCACGACTTCAGTTTTTGTCTTTTGACTTGTCAGCTGGCCCATTGCCTTTGTCTGATATGATTATAGCAAGTTGCTCTAATCATACTCCAGGGCACGTTTGCTCAAAGCGCTAGCCGCGGCTAAAGTTAGCCGCAGTACCTAGGAGAGGGATTTTGAAATCCCGTGACTGGCTCGGTAGGAATGCGGGGAAACATGGCGGCACCCCAGTGAGTAAGCGCCGCTCGCTTTGGAAATAATATATCGTTGTAGCTGCAATATCGGGCGTGTTAGTCAGCAACTAATGGTGCAGGAGGCTTTCAGTTTGCCTTACCTCACTTAAATTGTAAAGCATGAGCAATGACCTCGCCACATTATTTAGATAGTCTTTCGATTCTGGCCATTCCCTAGCCTAAATGAACGCGATAATTGTCGGCACGGCAACGTCTTTGTAAGGTGGATTGCCTTGTCTCAATCGGCCGGGTATTGATAGCATACAAAAGCAGACAGCACCTCAATAGACCTTTTTCTAAATTTCCCAAGCGCGAGGTCCATGCTACGAGTGTAGTTACATGCATTGCACGTGCTGGCGTCTGCAGTAGTAATTGTTCTAAAGCAAAAAGTCGAAAACAAATTTTGCCTTGCACGCGCGTTCGTCAAAGCCTTATTATGATTATTTACTTGGAATCTATGGTCCGCGCGCAGGCCGCAGAATTACACTCCCAGCGTTCTCGATGCTTGGGCAATTTAGAAAAAGGTCTATTGGAATGCAGTCTGCTTTTGTGTGCTATCAATACCCGGCCGATTGAGTCAAGGCAACCCACTTTCCAAAGACGCTACCATCTCGACAATTACCGCGTTCATTTAGGCTTAGGAAGGCCAAAATCAAGACTATCTAAAAAAATGCGGCGAGGTCATTGCTCATGCTTTGCGATTTAAGTGAGGTAAGGCAAAGCAAAAGCCTCCTGCACCATTCGTTGCTGACTAACGCGCCTGATATTGCAGCTTCAACAACATATTAGTTTCAAAGCGAGCAGCGCTCATTCACCAAGGCACCGTCATGTTTCCCCGCATCCCTACCGAGCCAGTCACGTGATTTAAAAATCCCTCTCCTAGTTACTGCGGCTAACTTTAGCCGCGGTTAGTGCTTCGAGCAAACAGGCCCAGCCTTGCTTGTTTTGTCACTAAAATTTTGTGTCCTTCTTGAACAACAATCCAGCCCCAAGGAGTGGTGCTGTCTCCACCTGTGTGCAGCAGGTAGCTGCACAGCTGGCAAGTGACGTCTCTTTGGAGATGCCTGAAGAGGCGGTGGAAGACCCATGCACTCAAGACTCCATAAAAGGTGTTAATTTAATTGTTTGGCTGGAGTGTTCAGACCTCGAGGTCTACAAAGGCACTGCAAAATAAATTAGGATTCCCAAAAAGATTGGATCATAGGCAGCTGTGCCATCACAACAAATATTGACTCATGGGACTATGAGCTGCTGCTACACACCTGCATGTGTACTAGGTGGTTGCTGTGATACCGTGAAGGAAATTAATTATTTAGATTATTACAGCCCTTCATATACATTTTTGAACTAAGGAAATAGCTTAACTCTGCTTAGGACATCGGAAAGAAGTTTGCTTTCTTTATTTGTTAAATGCGATAACATTTCTTTCAACTACCCCCCCCCCCACCCCCCTTCCTGTTATCTCAGTAAAATTATGTAAGTCTTATAACAAAGAATGACTGTGTATGTGCAGGATTAATTAAAGAAGATACAGTATATGCACCAGTCTACACTAGCTCCCAATTATGAGCTTGATGCTGTACACCTGTGCAATCTGCTACTGGATGGTGTAGATGACAACGTTTCAGCTGCAGTACATAAGTCACGCAGCTGACATGGAGTGAATGCATGACGTATGTATGAGCCCCCTGCATTTCATCACGAAATTACGCGTTTGCAAGTCCGGTCTTAGGGAGCCACCATCTTGCCCAGTGGGGTGCGCTTGGATGTGGCCATAATCAGATTATGACGCGTCCAAGCGCACCTCAACCGAGCAGGATGACAGTGCCCTGAAGCCGGACTTGCAAACATGCATAGAAGCTCTCCACAGGGGTACCAGTTAAAGCTACCCACTCCTGCTCACACTATTGCCAGTTAGTCATTGCGAGGGTCAGGTATAGTGTTGGCATGCTTTGCCCTCCATTTGGCACCAGCAAAAATTTAGTGTACTTTGAGCTTACAAGTAAATTCAGATGACACATTATGTGCAGTGTATTACCTGTGAATTGAACAAGCCTAGCAAACATTAGTAGACCCACTGCACATGTGTCATCCGACTTTACCTGTAGGGTCGAGGCAAGGGCAAACCCTCCTCCACCACCCTACATTGAAGCACCAGATGCAAAGGCAGATATGCACCCATGCACAAGCGTGATTGGTACATTTGCTACTACATGCTTCCGTCACACTTGCTGGAAGTTGAAAGTACTGCGGTGCCTCACTGCAGAATGGGATGAACTGAAGAGAAGCATTGTTTTTGTTTTAGTGTTTAACTAAGGAAAGGGAAAACATGGCGGGCTTATTCTGCTATGCCTTAGGGCTAAGTAAGGGAATGAGAAACTTAAAGAAGAAAGTTGAGTTCATTACTTGGTGTTCTCAAAAGACAAGGAACACCACACCGATTTGTAAAGCAAGCAACACCAAATCAATTATTGTAAATCAAGAAAGAAGAGGGCAAGAAGGAGGGGGTGATTCAACTAGGATTCAATAAAAGCCGCTGATCTGGCTAGGCCCCTTGGCAATGGTTTTGCTAGTAGATTTTTATTTACAAAAAGAAAAAAGAAATACATTGGTTACAATGCCAATGCTGGATCAGACTGAGGCACATTATTCTTCATTATTTTCCTTGCCTCACCTCATATCTTTGGTGTCATGGAAAAATTAGATTATTTATGCCACATAATTTGCAGCAAACTAGGGAAAGACGTAACCTGATTATTTATCTAAATTCAGTAGAGTAGGACTAATTGCAAAGAGCTGTATGTGGTTCCCGAAAATCTACTAATGAGGAATAGGGCAACATCACTCAGCATAAGATTCATGTATCTATCTGTGCTTCCTTTACAGAAATGGAGAAGGATGCCGCTGTCGGCCTAATCATGATGGCTGGGAATCCTGAGGTGTCCAAGCTGCGTGACCTGCAGATGGCCAAAATGCAGCAGGTCATTCTTGATCTGCAAGCAGACAAACAACGTCTCGAAAGGCAGGTTTGCCACCTGCAAGCCAGGCAGCTTAGTCTCAACACTATCCAGGAGCCTAAGAACTGTTTATATTATACTGGGCTGCCTGAGTTTTCAGTTTTTCAGAATTTGTTTAATTTTCTTGAGCTTCGGGCAGCCAAGATGAACTACTGGTTAGGTAACAGAAAGACAACTGGTGAGACCAAAGACCGCACACGGGAAATGTCTCTGATTGATGAGTTTTTTATGGTCCTCGTGCGGTTAAGGACAGGGATGGCAGGCAAGGAACTGGCCCGCAACTTCAACATTTCTGAAGGGCAGGTAAGCAAGGTGTTTGTTACGTGGATCAAGTTTCTCCAGCGACAGTTAAGGGTACTGTTACAGTTTCCGACAGTTGCTGAGATTCAGCCCAACCTCCCTAATGCCTTCCACAAGTTTTCTAACACGAGGGCTGTCCTTGATGGAACTGAGGTACGTATCCAGAAGCCGTCGTCGTTGCTGGCTCAGAGGCAGACCTTCTCGCCCTACAAACACTACAACACCTACAAAGCGGTTGTTGGATGTACACCCGAAGGGTACATTTGCCATGTTTCAGAACTGTGGGGTGGGACTGTGTCAGACAGAATGATAGTTGAGGAGAGTGGGCTCGTGGATCAGTTGGAGTCGGGCGATGCCATCATGGTAGACAAGGGATTCAAATTTAATAGCCTACCACCTGGAGTGCAAGTGCACATTCCGTGTTTCAGGCAGCCGAACGAACCTCAGATGCCGGAGGAAGATGTGGCACACACCCGGCGGGCGGCCAGTGCACGTGTAGTTATTGAACGCGCAATCGGAAGGATTAAGCAATTTCACTTCCTTGATCGACCCTTCCCCATCTCCATGATAGATATTGCAGATGAGGCGTTTCAGGTTTGTTGCTTTTTAAGCAACTTTCGTATGCCACTCAGCCGTGCTGAGTAGCAGCAGGACATATGTGTCGGCTTCAGTGGCAACCTTCAGCTTGATAAACATTTTAGAATAACTTCCTTCTTGTGGTTGAACTCCAGGGTTTTGTTTTTAAATGCAGCACGTCGGAGATGGTTTTGAGGTACTCTAAATGGACACAGGGTTCCGGAAAAGTTCTCACTTTAGAGCCATCAGTGAGCAGCGAGAACTCATCCGCTCGCGACCACGTGCTGGCGGGCGCCGCGCAAACAATATGGTAAAAGTAGGAAAGTCTCATCCGGGTCCGGCCACACCCGTCCGGCCCTGTCCCCCTCCCCCTCCGGCTTCTGGCGGCTGTTCGCGGTAGCAGAGAGAGCCGACGCTTTTGTGGATCTAGGATAGATGGCGCCACTAAAATTCCGTATAGTAAAAGTTTTGTCGATGATACCAGATTTTTGACGCATTTATATGCATTTTGGAAGTACAACATTTATAGAAAAGTTACCTTTTATCGAGCAGGTATTCGCACAACTTGCTATCTTTCTACAAGACTCCCCATTGACGTCACGCCGCGTGTTTCTCATGGCCGCCGCTCGCGGCTGCAGGTCGGGGAATACGTATTCCAAGTTTTACCTCGCTAGTACGTGGCGGAATCGCAACATTTCGACGAAAGGAGGTGTGTTTTCTGTCATTTGTGACAAGGTGAACAATATCAAAAGCAGAAGATGCCAATTCTTTCAACGTTAAAATCGTTGCACAGCTCCTTTAATATTAATGTAATAGAAGGTTGTTTCTCGTGCACCAACGACTTCGGTTTTGGAATAATACCCTAGAACAGTAACACAATGCATCTCGCCCCTCTTTTCACTATTTGTCTCGTGCCCTTAACTCTCACTGGGGGACATCCCCTTTAGATGAGAGAAATTTTGCAGTACGACCGCTAGCATATGGTCTCTAACGTGCATCATGCAGTAGTAATAACACTAACGCATCCTGGTTTGATGCTCATAAAAATTAACGGGGGTGGTAATCGTACCTAGGATCTCTGGGCTTTGTGACTAGAGCTTTCGCTTTACATGCTTTGTGCTGTGACATGCTATGCTCCATTTCACAATAACTTGGCGAACTATGGAGGCTGCGGCCCCCATGATCCAATAAGAGCGTCGGAGCAAGTCACATGATAAGACTCCATGGTTGAGGCCTCCGAGGCGTCGTTTTTGGGGGCACCGAGATGTCGCCAAAGAGTTGTTCAATGTTTCATTTCTTTCTTTTTTGTGCTAACTGAACTTGAGTGATTCCATCTTTATCAAGAATAAATATAAAAAAATTAATGAAAAAAAAATATTTACAAATTTTAATGATATTTAAACCGAAAAAGTAATGCGACATTTGTATTCAGTTCGATTTTTTTTTCTTCTTGTAGTGCCGTGGCCGTTGGTGATTGCAGCCGTGTAATCAGCCGCTTGCAGGGCAACTATGGTCGAAAACGAAACCAAAATAAATTACTGGTACCGCTTTAGTGGCACAACTCTCGGCCTGCAGACAACAGCCAGTTCCTTGGTGCAGTGACACACACGCTTCCGCTATGTGGTTTTATGTGCCTCGCTCCGACGCTCTTATTGGGTCGCGGAGGCTGTAAGCTCCACAGTTCGCCAAGTTACTATGAAACAGAGTAGCACACTTGGTCACCGTTCCCCCCTAGTGCCTGCCATGATTGTCCTTAATCACATTTCGCTGTGATCCGCAACTGGCATACGAGTTTAGATTAGATATATCAAAGTATTAGATGTCCTCATTTCATTATTTCATGTGTGTGGTCTTTGGTCTCAATGTCTAATGGGCTGTGCATTTTTTGTATGATTATACATCTTGCCAGTGTGTTTTAGGAGTGCAACAATTATCATGACTATAGCTGCTTTTTACAGTGTCGATCTAAAACTCACTATCTTCCTTATGCAGTTCGGGCTATTGCTGCCTCATAGTTAGTGTGTTGAGTTCGGTCATATTGTGCATCAATTTTTACTTAAATCTGCTATGTGGGAAGTACATGAATAGATAACATCAATTATCTGCTGTGCATCACTGTTCAAATTTATGATTCTAGCAACTTTGTACAGCGTTATCTAGAACTTGCTCTTTGGCTTTAGTTTAGTATGCAGTTTGGGTGATTACTGCCTCGGAGTTTTTGTGTTCAGCTGGGTTATGTCCGGAGTTTCCTTATTTGAAAAACTCTCATGCACCAATCTTTGGTGTTTGAATATATTGCTTGGGAAGTACATGAGTAGCTAGTGTGAATTCGAATAAGCCAACGAAGTTTTGGCTACTTCGGGTCTTTTTCCCTGCAAAGTCGATTGTAATGTTAATGACTTTGACACGCTACCTCAACAAATCATGTGTTAATACAAGTTGGAGCTAGAAAATCCTTTTTTTTGTTGTTTTTTTACTCTGAACAGTTTAAGAAGGAATTAGCTCTGCTTGTTTATAGGCAAATGGTTTTCTATTTATTGTAATAAACTGTAAAAATGTAAACCACCACACCCTGTGTCCTGTTTTTCTGCAGTAAACACCATTCTCAAAGACACGGGAGTGGCTACAAAAGCACTGCCCCTGACAAGCATATTTATTTGGCTCTGAAAAGAGCCGTTGTGACTTGGCGAAGCCTCGGGCTTCATGCAGGCGCTCCTTCACTCCAGCCTACGCAGCTTCTTTTTCAGTCCGGGACCGTCCTCCACCACATAAAACCCTTTGCAGAACTTCTTGAAGGAGACGTACTGGCCCCGAGCTATCAGGGCTCTTCGACGCCTCACACGGCCCGTTACCACTTCTGGGAAGAGGGCATGCTTGGCGAAGTAGATCAGCCCTGGCAGCAGTGCTCCATCAACGAACTTCTTGTCGAAGGCGATGGTCTCGACGTGCGTCGAATTGGCAACAGTCGTGTTGTTAGTCCAAAAAACAAAATCGCACCACTGGTGTCCGGTCACTGCCATCTGCCCTTGCACCTGGTAGAAGTAGGCGTGAGTCTTCTTCAGTCGTACCAAGCCATCCACAACTTCGCAGCAGAACTTCTTGTCCTTGCATGCCTCCATTGGTGTTAGCCCAATCTTCGAAGCCGGACACTTCACCTCCAAAAGGCCCTCTTCGTTGTCCTTCCTCACGATGCGGTCGGGCAATGCTGCAATGAAGCTGCACTCTGGGTGAATGTGCAGCCCAGTCTCGCGGATCTCGACGGGAGTGTCGAATGCTGCCATGAGTGATGCATAGGCTGAGACGGCGGTACCCTCGTGCGTCCTCCCATAGCGCATGGCCTCACTTGAGGCATCTGGGCTCGGGTACAAAATACCCTTGACCAGGTACTCGGGCTTGACACACTTGATGACAGCAGAGAAGACTGATGCTGTAATCCTGCCCTGCCGCTCTTTGTGCCACCTTGGATTATTGGCTTGACCGATGGTGGACCGGGTCACTTGTTCCCTCTCTTCCTCCGTCAATGTTGGAAGGGACTCCATGTGTTTTTCAACAACGTCCCGGGCATTCTCACTCCACAAATCTTCATCATCTTGGATGGGGAGCACTGGTGCCGCTGGTCCAAGTTGCTGTACACCACTGTACAGAAGCCACTGGAGGCCCGGTGTAGACAGACTGAGGGCATCTCGCAGTTGCTGAATCTCCTCAGCCGAAGCAACACCAACATTCTCACAAGGGTCAAAAGAGCGTCGTTTCTTCTGCTTCACCGGCCTGTTGATCAGGTATTTGTGGAACGTGATGTCTGCAAGTGGCACCAGGGGAGCAGGCTTCTTGGCTGCAAAGAGAAATTTTGTCAGTTCAGTTCTAAAATAAGCCACATCTAGGTTTTCTTTTCCATCTTGTAATCATGTTAATAGCTTATCATCCAAGCTGCTTTATGTAGAAAATGTAGAGTTTCACTTTCATGAAAACGAACACAAAAAGCATTGGCTGTTTGGTTCCACATTTATCTAGCAATGGAGGTGAGCTTGGCTAAATAATTAAGACAGCTTGGACGTTGGTCTTATTCTCCAATATATTAGGTACGAAGTAATAACATATTTCTGAGCAAAAGATTCCTATGGAGCCTCTTTAAGGGCCGTAGTGTACACACCTTCAGCAGGCACAATCCAGGTGCAGGGTATGTCGGTGCAGCTCGTCG